TGTGTTCAGATGTTTGTCACTCACAGTGCAGGCTACAGGACTGAGTACTTTGAGTTTGCGATCAGTGTGTGCAGCAGAGTGTCGTGTCTGTTTGATTCTGAGTGTGACCGATCCCACAGAGAGCCCTGGAGATGAGCAAAGAGGAGTTCGGCGCGCTGCCCGGCTGGAAGCAGATGAACTTGAAGAAAGCCAAGGGACTTTTCTGAATGATGAAAAACTGGGCGCTGCTGATGTCATCAGAAAACTCAGACTCCAAGGGTGGGGCTGCCTGGATGTGTGGGGAAAAGATGCTCCAGTGTTTTGGTTGTAGGAGATGATTGTGAGTGGATGCATGTTTTAATGGCAGTCATGTAAATTCCCACTCTGTTAATGTATGTACTTGTGTACTTTGAGCAGGAGCACCTTACACTGTCAGCCTTGCAGCCATGTTGGTGTCGGCAGGTCTGTCAGCCTGCTAAACTCCCTCCACATGATACTCTCTGCTATGTATGTTTGTGCATTAAAAATAAATTATATTTATATTACATCCATGTAGAATGTTTTTTAAAAAAAAGAAAAATCTTAACAGATATTGAAAACCTAACAAAATAAAGTGTATAATAAATGTTGCAGAGGTTTGTGTCTCATGTTCCAGCTGTACAGATCACCATTTGCTGTTTACTGATCAAATGAAGCTCTTGATATGAATGACGGTGTCATTACTGTGGGACAGATACAGACTTGATTAAAGGCAAACAAAGAATGATGATGAAATGTTTGATTTTTAATTCTTTCAGTGTATAGTGCCTTGCTTTGTGTACAGTTTATATACAGATCCTAGTCTGCATTTTGGAGACTGTTTTGTGATATAAAGATGTATTCTAGAAATAAACCTGGAAAGTTTGATATCTGAACATTTTTCTTTCATCTTTTTCAGCCGACCAAACAGACACACTACATACACTCCAGTTTCCTGTCAAACTCTTGTGTGATTTTGGAGTGATCCTCAACTCACGCGGCTCATGTCGCAGTGGCCATGTCCTTCTTTGATAGTGAAAATTGATTTGTCTCACGTAAACATTAAAGTTCTGATTTATCCATTTGTCTGTGTAAGATCTGACCTACTCCCATGAGGTTCACTGACATCACAGGGAGAGCTCGTACACTTTTATGTGGTGATGGTGGTTTTTGGATTTAAAGCCGGGCATCGATTCATGCCTGTATCTGGGCCTAGCGCTGACCAGTGGTCATGTGAGGAGTATCTGCTCCATGGAGCTTCTCACCTGCTGGGTGCAGCTTGGCTCCATGCTTACTCTGAAGCTCACAGCCTGTGTTTGAACAAAGAGGACCTACGTTCATGCATAAATGAGTAAACTGTGATTTAAAAAAAATAAAAGCCTTTTAGCTGAGAAGTCAGTTTAGTTCCAACTAGTTTCCATCGTTTGATTGTTATAGTGAACTGATTTCATTACAGTGATTACCACTTATTGCTTGTTAAAAAAGAATAAAAAATTTTTTTTTAAAAAGATGAAATTACTATGATCTTTGGAAATTACTTTTTCACAGGACTGCGTATAGTCTGTCGGGTGAAGCCTGATCCAGCTGCCATGGGATGAACGGTGGGGAACACACTGGACAGGTTTCCAGTGTGACACAGGGCTAACACAGAGACAACCAATCACAGGTCACCTGCTGATGGGAAGGTTGGTGGTTCGATCCTTGGCTCCTCCAGTCTGCATGTCAAGTATCCTTGGGCAAGATACTAACCCCAAGTTGCTCTCCGATGCTTCCATCGGAGTATGAATGTGTGTGAATGTAGTTAGAAAGCACCAAGTACAGAGAAAATGCTTGTGAGAATGGGTGTGATTGTGGCATGTTGTATAGAGCGCGTTGAGTACTCCAGGAGAGTAGAAAAGTGCTATATAAGAATCAGTCCATTTACCATTTACACCTATCCTCAATGTAAAAGCACCAAGTTCACTAAACACACATCTACGGGAGGAAGCCAGAGAGAACACAGACAAAACCCAGCCAGTAGGTGGATTTGAACCAAGGACGCACTTCCGCCATCATTAAATAGTAAATTTCAAAAGGAATCTCCAAAAGTTGATTCTGTTCATCTGGACGTAGGGTTTTGTGGGAGAAACGTTTTGGTGTTCGCTCTGTGTTGTAGCGTCCTGATGACACCCAGTTTATGCTCCAGTGGATGATGAGAGTCAAACCTTAGATACTGATCCGTATGCGTAGGTTTACAGTACACGTCAGCTTTTAGATGTCCTCCATTACTGACCTCCCAGCCCATTGTTCCTTCAGTGGGCTGGTTTCAGTCATTATGCAAATGTACTGTTTATAAGATTGGGGAAACCTGCAGTCAGCTGAGACTGAAGAAGTCACTTGGATGAGTGACGAAACGTTTCTCCCACAAAACGCTACGTCCAGATGAACAGAATCAACTTTTGGAGATTTACTTACCCGGATGATTGAGCATGCATCAAGGCGTTTCAAAAGGAATATTTTCAAAGAAAAATGAATTGTTTCTGTTAAATATTATTGTTTATTAACTGACCTCCGGTGTCATGTCTTCTTTCAGAAGAGGTCTCAAAAGTGTTATGCATACCAAGCTAAGACTCTTAAATCAAAACTCAGAGTGGTGTTGGACTGTGTGAGACCAGAGTGTCAACCCTTCCTAATCAACCAGCAGAGGGCAGTGAAATACAAGTTTCTACGAGTAAAGAAACTCTTGGGTCTGCAGACTTGGATGTGCTCAAGTATTATAGAAAGGAGTTAAAGAAGAGGTTCCCAAAGTTTTAAAGCCAGCATGTGACTCGTCCAGTCATTTGTCTGATCAGAGGACGGCAATTGAAGTTATTATTTCTTCCTTTCAGACAGTTTTTCTGCCATTTTATATTTTTCTAACAGCAGAGTGCGGCGTTCCTGACGCTCTTTGGCCTCAGCTGTAGCTGAAGGTTCAGTCATCTGTCACAGTTTGAGTTTAAATGGAAGCAAAATGGTCTTGTAATGTGATTGCATAGAGCTCTAGTCTTACTGAGCAGTTTTTTCCTACGCCTGAGTGCTTTCTATCTAACTTTCCTGCTCTGATGAACACATCAGAGAGCAGCCAAGGATCAAATCACCAACCTTCAGTTTAGCAAGTGACCTGCTCTACCTCCCGAGCCACAGCCAGCCCTAAATTAGTGTTGTCACCTTAGTTTCTGTTAATATTATTAAAGAGGGCTGAGACTGACAGAGGACACTGATGCTAAAGATTCTGAAGGTTTAGGATTCTGAGGCAATACTTTGTTTGCAGTCTGGTGATGCTACTTTCACCTAAATAGAGCTGCTTACACAATGACAACTCAACACAGAGGTTGTCATTGTGTTAGCATAGATTATGTCATGCGCACAATGGAAGTTTATTAGAAACAGGAGGGAAAAAATTATGCAATATATTTTTTGTAACTCTTATCTAGTTCAGGGTCATTTGGGGGGGGGCTTATCCTGCCACAGAGGGCGACCTGGAAAGGTTCTAGCCTGTCACAGAGAGATGATTTAGAGTTGTCAAACGCTATGTTGTTCTACACAGAGACCAGATGGGGGACTCAAACACAGGACCTGCTTTCTGTGGGTGGTGCAGCACTAACCGCACCACTCTCATGCCAAACTAAGTCTTTGCGTTTCTTTTCAGGCTTTTACTTTTTTCAGCTTCCAAAGGCAAATTAAGAGGAAACGTTCCAAAACTACGAAGATGATAATCCTCAACACAGCATTGTTCAGAAGAAAAAGATCAGATGTATGTCTTTAAATGAAGTCAGGGGCACGTCTGTCAGAGGCTTCTGTCACTTTTGGTCTGTATGGTCTCCATATGGCAGCTTTATGGATCCCTCTATGCCCACCTACACCGAGTCGCAGGTGAAAGCTACAATCAGCCGTCCAACCTGTCAAACATCGCTGCCTAACTTTCCAGGCTGTCCTCCAACTCTACACATAAACACACACACACACACACTAAGAGCTCTCAGATGTTCTCAATATCAGCTGTTGGCCTGTGTGGAGGAACGAGCAATTAGAGGGGAATTTCATGCAATCACAGTAGAACAATATACACAGCAGGTTTCCACCCATCCAACTGTTGCTCAAATGTGTTACTCAATGTTTTAACAGCCTGCCTAGAAACAGCAACAAGAGCGAGGAGAAGAAGAAGAAGAAGCTGCCGCCTTCTCCGAAAAGATTGGCAAGGCTCTGCGTGCTTCTCGCTGGTTTTCATCTGCTCGCCCTCTCTTGCATGCTAAGTTGCTGGATGCTGAATCGCTGTGTTACACATGCCTGCTCTGAACTCCTCTGGCCTGCGAGGAGTTTGATGTGGCGACCCGGTGCATATCCACCCACCCGCTCCTCCACATCCCTCCCCTCTGTGTCTCCTGGAAGACAGTGGGATGCTGCTGTGCACCCTGCAGGTGTGTGTGTGTGCATGATGGTGTTGTATCTCGTTTTTTGACTCCGAGCCCAGTTTCTGAGCTTAGCTCCACCAGCTTTTCTTTGCATACGACCCCTTTACAGAATGCAAGACATGAATGCAGCACACTCAGATGCTCCTGTTGTACTGTGGAAAAATGAGTGCAGTGTCAGTGTTTGAAACTCCTCCTGTATTTTCTGTTTTCTGATTGGCCAAATATTTAGACTTTTCTTGCCTCCTGATGATTTTCTGCACTAGAACATTTTCCCAACTTACATCATCATTCATCAGCTTCCTGTGACGTGTGTTAAATGTTTTTATTTGGACTGAAATGTTCCAAAAGCCCCGTTAAACATTTATGTGTCACAGTAAACTCAATAAAAAAAAACCCCTGCTGCTAAGTCTGGGGATTTTGAGCACATTTCATAGGCAGCGTTTTACCCAGAGGGCAATGCTGTCTTACAGTGCTGGGAAAAAGCATTCCTTCAAATTTTAATATTAATCCAAAATAGCCTGAGTAAATAGAAAATGTCTTTTCTAAATGATGAGTTAAGCTATCACAAAAAGTTACATTTATTGAGTCAACAGAAAAGAAGTGATTAATGACAATTAATTTATGTTTTAAGGTGGGACTGTTTCACAGCAGTGTAGATAGAGTAAGCTTGTGTGCTTGTTTCAGACAACAAGAAATATCTGTTTAAAAAAACTGTTGTTTTCAACTTTATGCATCTCTGCAGTTACAAAGAAAATATTGCTTTCATAAAATAATGCGCTCAAATGTTGTGCCAGCTTTTAAATGAGCCTACATTTTGCTAATTGTCCGAGATACAGATCTGCAGCTACATCCGTGCAGTTCCTCAGGTGGCCACTTGGCCCTGGCTCTAAACGCAAGGATTTATTTAAATAAACTCCAATAATAATAATGGATTGGATTTATATAGCGCTTTTCAAGGCACCCAAAGCGCTTTACAATACCACTATTCATTCACTCTCGCATTCATACACTGGTGGAGGCAAACTACGGTTGTAGCCAGAAGCGAGGCTGCCATTGGCCCCTCTGGTCAACACCAGTAGGCGGTAGGGTAAAGTGTCTTGCCCGGGGATCGAACCGGCGACCTTCCGGTTACAGATACGCTTTCCAATCCCCTGAGCCACGGTCGCCCCATAGTTGAAAAGACAGTAATAATAAAACCATGGTGGAAGCCAGAAACCCACCATGGTGGTAGTGTTGACTTTTTTAAATGTGGAATTGCAAAATCAATGGGTGCTACTTCCATTTTTTATATACAGTCTGCAGTCATGACCTGAAAGCTGTTGCGGTTCAAGCACAGAAAAGGCAGAAATGTAGAGCTCTCTCTAATAGACTTGCAAAGCAATGGAGGCTCTGTTTGGGGTTCATCAACATAATGTAGTCTGTCATTAGGAGCTGGTTTGCTTCCCTTTTAGGCCGCTTTGAAGAAG